TCTTCTATGGAATCAGGGATGCCTCGCCGGAACCCTTGCCTCATGTGGAGCCGAAACGCCCTGCATCCTGACTGGCCAAGTAGGCATGCCTCTAAATCCTGAAACGCCGCAGCAGTATGTGCATCTATTCAAGACACCTCTGGCAACACCGTGCGAAAGGGCCAACCAAATGTCGAGTATTATGTATTAAAGTATTACAAAGTAGGTGGATTGTCAACGAATCCCAATCGAGCTCAGAGGAAGTAGACGGCTGCCACCAACGCGAGGGCTAGGGCACCAACACCGTTCCGAGCCGCGCCAGCAGTGGGAACAGAGTCGGGAGGGGTGTTCGTGTTCGTGCCCGTTGGCCTGACGGGAACGTTGGTGGCGTTGTTGTGAACGCTTGTGGGATATGGTGTGTCGTTGGGGGGTGTGGGGAGGTAAGACGGGTTGGTGCCGTTTGTAGGGCGAGGATGAGGCGGGAAGTGCTTGGTGTTGGTGGGGTAAGGCACTGGAGGATACAGTCTAGTGCTGTTGCCATGGTGGTACACGGAGGTGCTGGCGCAGTCGCTTGTTGTTGACGGTACGTTGGGGGCTGTCGTGGTAGTAGTGCTGTTGCTGCCGGAACCTGACTGCTTGCATTGGTCGGCGGGCAGAGTAAATGGCTTGGAGCCGTCCTCTGGGTAGACGATGCAGTTCTTCTCGCAGGCAGCGTCACCCGCGGTCTCGGACGTCTGGAAACAGAGAGCGGGGTTGACGCCGATAGGTGGCTGACCGGCGAGGTTGTTGGTGCATCGCCCGGGCTGCCCGATGGAGGCACCGTTACACCGGATTATGATATCAGTCCCCAAAGAGTCACCGGCGCAGTATGCGACATTCGGCGCAGCACAGGTGTAGACACCAGTTGTCTCGTTACTGTAGGACATTAGTCATGACAGTAAGGCGCGAAATAAAGGGTGGAACGTACTATGTGACTTGAGCCGTGGCCAAGGCCGAGGCGGCGAGGATAATGGAAGCAGCGGCCTTCATTGTGCAAATTGTTCTACTGGAACAATGGTGTAGGGAAGGGGCGGTGGGATAGAGTGAGTGAGTGATCACTTGTAGGTTGGTTGAGGAAACCCTAAGGTCGATTGGTGACAGTGATTGTTGGTGTTGGTGCTGGTGCTGTGCAACATGTGATGGGTGTCAAGCGGACACAACTTGGCTCTATATACCATGTAGCGAGGCCGCGAGAAGCCTCCAGCCCGGAAGCAGTGGTGGCGTAGGTAAGACTGAGCCATGTTCACTGTGGTCAGCAGAAGCATCGGACGGCCACCCCGGTTGGAGGAGGAAGCGTCGTCGTAAGGCGATGATCTCCCGTGTCGGGTCGTTTTCGCCGATGGGTGTCTGCAAGGCACGCGCTACCGCTGGTCTCGGTAACCACTGACATGACGGGTTTAGACCAGCTGTGGGACAAATATGGATACGAGCTGGCTGACGGGAGGCCATCGTATGCCTACCTCAGCCGGCGACGGCCGAGTGGTGTTCCTTTGTGGCGGCACGAGGTCACGCCGGATCGGGGCTTAGTGCACTTTCTTCCATTTTTACCCACGCTTCTACTTCACCAGTTTAGTCGACCCAGACAGCTGGTGAATACCCATGTGGCTAGACAAGTGAAGTGCAGTCGAGGTCAAAAGTGACACCACCAATTTCTTTTTTTCGTGCCGCTTGCGGAATGATCATAGTCCTGGTAGCCAGGGTTTGAGGCCAACGGGAACATGCTTGTCACTGTAAAAGCTGGGCCGTTGCCCTTTCGAGGCTGAGACAAGGAAACCGATGGGACTTGATCGTCAAAATCCAAGCCACAATCGATGGGGCGCTCTCTGGCTGATGACGAATGGTGGTGCTGTGAATGACTGGGCCTAAGTGCCGTACTGCTAAAAGTCGTGTGCGCAGCCTGGAGGCCCCCCCCAAAACACGAGAGTCGCGGCCCAGTACGTCAGACGCAGCAACGGGCTGAAGGCCCCATCATTGTCGCCTCCGCCCCATGGCGAGAGGTCTGAATCACGCGAAGCCTGTTAGTGACCTCCGACTGGGTGGCGCTGCGGCGGACATAATCGTCAGAGTACTCTCCGGATCGATCGTGTCGGAGTTCGGATTCTGGCGAAAGGCGGAGTGGGCTGAGTTTGCAATAGCACGGTGCTCTAGCACCGGCGAAAGACTCGGTCGCTCGTGAGTGACGGAAATAGAAACTCGGCCATGGAAGGTTGTTGCGGATGATTCAGCTGGAGCACTGGCTTCCTTGTCGCCCGTGAACACGCCTGCAACGATGGAATCTTGATGTTCCAGATACAGGCGATTGTTTCCAGGACGATCTGATTGCGACAAGGCCTTTCTCAACACGCAACATTCCAGCGGACAGCGTCGTCCCTGGTTGCGTGCAATCTGCACGCGGCATGGCTTACAGGCAAGCTGCCAGTCTAGAACGTTGGCTTGTTGGGCAGGCAATAGACTGCAGAGAAGAGGGATGTCGGAAGGGCCCAATCCTGGCACTCGGCGCGCTGTGGACGCCCACAAACGGGTGTAGCAATCAAGAAACTAGCCAAGCAGCTGTCACGACGGCAGGCAAAGTCTTGCGCATGGGCTAATGGGGATTGGGACAGTAAATGCTTACGACGCAAGAGCAACGCCTACTGAGGGTTTGTCAAGAGGAGGGGATGTGTGGCCGCGCGGGACAAACCGTGCCTCTCTCACGGAGCCACCTAGCTCAGGTAATAGCGCAGCCCTTTTGGCGTTGTGAGGGGGTTGGACCAGTCTGATCGGCGGACGCGGGGAGCCGGCGTGGTGAGAAAGTCGGAGGTTGGGAGGCTCGCCTACCTCCCACCCAGTGTTGAGCTTGCTGGGCCTAGAGCTTATTTAGCATCTGATTCGTTCAACAGCACAGAATGCATATGTCGGGCGTGCAGGCTTGTCTGAAGAGAAAAGCAGGTCGGCAGGTATTCCGCCGTCTCGTTGGTCAACTAATGGTGATGGCGCTGGTACCGGTGCATCCAAAGTCGAGGCCACTGCAAGGCCGCTGTCCTCCTGCATGGAGCTGGCGCAGCATGACTCTGCGGACCACTGTGGTGCTTTTGTTCAAGAACAAGGGAGTACAAGGTAGCACCGACGGAGGACGGTCCTAAAGGAGAGGGCGGTATCCCAGAAACAATTTGCAACGGCAAATGCCTGTCGCAACAGTCGAAGCCAGGTCGGGAAGAAGTCGGTCTAGGAGTCTGTCTGTGGTGGCGCCCTGTATCGTGGTCAGGGAGACTGGTTCATCGACCAAACTGTACGAAGTCTTATGCCAAGAATTATTGTACAGGTTTGGTAGGAGTCTGGTAGCGGGACTTGGGATGAATTCTGGATGGCAGGAAAGGATGGACCATGCTTGCCATGCTCGAGGTGGGAGCGATGGCAGGAAGGATGGACCCCCAACTGCACATGGCCGTCCTCTATTGGGTCCCTCCTTCCAAGGCCATCCCTTCAAAGCCCGCCCCTCGCCCCCAGTGCCCGCCCGCCTGCCGCCCGCCCCTCCTCTTCCAGGCTATCCAGGCTTGCCAGGCTACCCACTTGTCATCATGACTGCAATTGCCAGGGCATTGCCCAGATCAGCCAGACAAGTCAGACAGCACCCCCGAAGCTGCTACCACACTTGTCGTTCGTCTTGATCCAGCAAACTCGACTTGTCGTACAGGTGGTTCACATTGAAGTGTGTCTGCGTCCCTGTCCTCCCCCTCGCTACCTGCCAATCAAGCCGTCCCTTTGCCTCGTCCAGCTGTTGCCTCGAACACCTCGGACACTTGCACGCCTTCGCGATCAACGACATGACGCACTGCCAGTAGAAGCAAGTGCTCTGTTTCCCTCGAGTCCAAGAGACACGGCAACTAGTATAAGCCTTCACGCGGCCTTTTAGCGGGACCCTGACGTCGAATCCTCGCCCTGCTGCGGCCGAACCAACCACAAAGGGCGTCATCCCTACAGTGGAAATCGTCCTTGCTGTTGTGTCTTGCCCACCTTCATCCAACCTTGGTTCTTCGCGAACACGGACAGACCTGCGTCTTGCTCATGGGAGACCGCCATTCTTCCAAGCACATCGACGCGGCACTGGCCTGCTGCACTCCGGCTTGCATTGGGTTTGACTCTGTTGCTTCCTTGCTACCCTCGAGACCGCGACTCGCCTCCAGGGACATTAACCTCGACCACGAAACACTGGCCCTGCCGCTTGTCCACCACATGTCTCAACAAGGAGACCCTTGACGCCTCGCCACAATTATCCTCGCAACATTTCCGCCGCCCTCACCGTTCACCTTGCCCTTGTAAATACCCTCTCGCACCTGCTCACCAACGTCCATTTTGCGACAAGCGCGACCCGCGAAGAACAAACCGCATCCCAGGATTGTTCTGCCCAGAATGCGAACAAGAACACGTCTCAGTCTGTCGGCATAATCGCGAGTTACTCGACCGGGTCATGCGCTGACCCTCTTCGCCATCGACATACCACCGAGGCCGCTCGTTATTGTTCCAACCCTCAGCCGACGACAAAATAGCAGTTCCCAGCATGACAGCTGCTGCAAATCTAATATTTTCGCCCACAATGACATCACGACCTCCAAATCACGATATGACCGAGGAAGAGTTATCAAGACGAAGGAACTTCAAAAAGCACAAGGTGCTCCCCCATCCGTTGAGGCAACGGGAAAATGCTGGGAGCATAGTCAACGATCAGCGATCTCCGCAAGCAAGGCGTACCCTCAGCTCAAGTGATGCGCAATCACGCAAGAAGACTTCGCAGTCGCCAAACTCGCCTACTCTGAAGCATCAGTCGAGACGTATTCGAAGTGGCCCCGTCATGCCTCCGACCCCCCCCGCCCACTCGCGAACCTCCTCAAGTAGTCACTCCATACAGCTGCACAGCCCGACGGACGCCGCAACACCTTCTCAGAGCCTCGAAAAGGTCTCGACGCATCTCGAAAGACCCACGACCCCCCAGAATCAGCAGAGTCCCCCAACACCTGATGTGACACCCCCTCAACCAGCCGCTCGCCCCAAGGCATTGCGGCCCGTCTTTGGTGATCGCTCCATTTCAAAGACTACTACGTCAGAGTCTCGAACCGAGTCCTTTCGAACGGCAAGAGAAGAGCCCTATTCGTCTGAAGATGACTGCAAGTCCACTATACGACCGAGTCTACCATCTCCACGTACATCGCAGACTACTGTTCTGCAGATTTCACAACACAAGGTTAAGAAAGCGTCGCACCCGAGCGGCATCGGACTTGGACTCGACTTTGACCCCAAGACCGACGACAGCCTGACACCGAGAACGAAAGGAGAGTTCATCAAATTTGATGCTGGATGGGAATCGTCCAATGAAGTGGAAAAAGAATGGGACGACAACCTAGGCAGACATGTCATGGTAAGGAAAACGCGCAAAACGCCGGAAACGCCGCATACTCCTCGCCTGAGCGAACATGGAAACGAGGTTTTCGATGATGACCTCATCTCTCCTTCTAATGCCACCAAAGCGCTTCGAGCCGTACCGTTGCATGACAGAATGACGACACATCCCGTTGCCAAACATTCACCCGAAAGAAAGATTGCAAAGTCGAAACCAGCAGCGTTAGAAAGCTTTAGCGCCCCAGACCACCGAAGGCTCTCCGGAACGTCTGCAAAGTCGAGTGTGTCCACGGTCGTTGAGGCGATCTTGGTCGACACGCCCTCGCCGCCTCAGCGACAACAGACTCTGCGCCATGTGAGGAAACGAGGAACCCTGCGAGATTCACCCTCTGATCAATCACCGGGAGGTTCTGCCCCCAGTTCTGCAATCCGACTCGAGGAAACCAGACAGCACCCACCAGCTAGCCGGCCACCTGATTCACGCCGTGAGAGTCACACGTCTGCGACGACCCACAACTCTATGTCAAGCAACAAAGCTCGCCGCGAGGTGTGGAAAAATGGAGGGATCCCGGTCGTTGTTGTACCTGACCGGAGGTCATCCAATAGGTCCAGCCGTACACCTTCTCTGAGATCAACGAGCAGCCATCGGACCCGACGCAGTCTGAGTGTAAACTCGGTGCAACGGGTGAATGCTACTAAAAGTCACGACTTGACACCCCTGTTTGACAGGCCTTCCCGCAGACGACGGACCATGTCGGAATCTGACGGATCTGATCAAAGAACTATTGATTATCCTCCTGCCATCCCGGCGAGATCATCATCTCTGTCAGCCCCGACAAGTCGCAACACTTCACGCGCTGGGTCAATGACGGCGGAAAGCCTCAGAGCACACAATGCAGTCCAGCAGCGCTTGACCTCGAAGGACAGAATGATTTCGACAGATCTGAAAAGCACCCCTTCATTCTTCTCAGCGCAGGAAGACTACATGCATGCTCGTCCAAATTTGCACCGGCCCGACGCCGAGTCGTATAGTGGCAAGAGATTGTCGCACCAGAACACACCTTTTTCAGTCGCTTCCCTTGATACGAATGGAAGTTTTGGAACTGCTGCTGAGGTCTCCGAAGCTCTTGCTGTCAGCATCTACCCTCATCAAAATTCATCTTTGCTCATGGTCCATCACGCAGTGAAGCCAAATGACGATGGTGATGTATTTCAAGACAGAGCTGCCACAGAGAACAATGACTCGGCACCTGAGATGCCCGGCTCAACCCCAGCAAGACCGAAAATCGTCACAACCTCTCCCGGCGGCTCAGTACCCGTGACACCACCGCAGACACAGCTGGCGCTTGAACAAGTTGACTCACCACTAAAGAATCCACGCGCCCCTCCAGTGCCGCCGACGCTTCCAGCTATTCAATTTATCCCTGCCACACCGTCGGGGCTCACGCCATTCCACGAACGCCAGGAGATGCGAGGCAACTACTTTGAGGCGATGGAGGAGGATGAAAAGCCCCCCAAGCGAAGCATGTCTCTGGTGCGGAGGGCATTGCTCCAACATCGACGCACCTCGGAAGCTTACCCTCCAAGGACGGCTCGGCCTGGATTTCTCACGCGCACCTTATCTCTTTCACGCAGCAACCGAGGGAATGCGAGTACAGAGCCACTTGCTAGGGACTCGCCGTACCCGAACATTGACGACCCACCCGCAGATGATAGCAAGCTGCATCCCTTCTGGCGACCAACCTATGCCGACGACGAAGAAGACGACTACGTTCGAGATATCGATGACGAAGATTACTACTACGAAGCTCATCGCAATCGACCGGGTCCACAACGGAGCTTGAGTGCGCGGATGAAACGGACATTTGCTATCCTCCCCCAGCGCGACCAACATGGCTACCGTTCTTGGTCAGGCGAGGACGGACTGGACCGACGCATTATCCGTCGTACACCGAGCGGTAACTTGCGCGTCGTACGACGCCGGAAGAGCGCGGAGTCGATCCCGCGCCAGTCCGACCGACCCTACACCTCCGACGGTACCTCTTCTTCGAGGCTTTTATGGCCCGCTCGTAGCCGCCCGAGAGGAGAGACGCCATCGACTCCAAGGCGGCGATTCTCCGTGTCTCACACCATCGAGGAAATACAGGGCTTGCCTAGACGGCTCAGCGAGCGCAGAAGAGAAAGGCGCACGCATGAGCTGCGACAGAAGATCAGTGGTCCCAGAGAGGTACGGGACGGTGTGGGAGAAGTAGTACGGAGCAGCAGTCAGCGCAGCCACCGGTAGGTGACTGAGAACTAGGCACGTATGGAGGATGAGGCCTGAAAATGATTGAGAACGTGAGAGTTTCAAAGATGATATAATAGTCGACAGCGAGTGCTGCTTCGCCTTGACGATTTGATGACTGGTGCAGGGACATAGGGATTTGCTGCTACAGGACTGGGTATACGGATTGCTTTGGACGTATCTGAGATTTGAGCCGATTTGTTTCTGGAGGCGATCATGTTTTTTTCTTGTTTCGAGGCATGACGACCCGTGTCTGGTTTGTGCTGGGCCCCATGCGGCTATGACCATGATGACTTACGATGCGATGCGTGGAGCTGGCTCTCATCACATGTACACTTAGACACTGCCATGACATGATACCACGCAATTCTCTCTGTTTTAGCCCGAGCTCTGATTGAATGTGAAATTTTGTCCAAATGCACGGATATGATGTGCCAGCCTGGCATCTGCTTTCTGTTTACTGTATTTCGCGAACAGCGCGTGCGGACACTGCTGGTCATGAGTTAGACGATTAAGCCCAAGACGTACATCAAGCACATCTCTGTCCGAGTAAGTAGACAAGATCCCGGATGCGTTCTCAGCAGAAGAACATTGTCTTGGCATGGGACATGCCATTCTCGCCTCATTGGTAAATGAATTCCACGCCAAACACCCAAAAACGCCATTCCGACTGTAATCATGGAGAGAACACCGTATTCCCCATCGCATTCATGTAACCCTTCTGGAGCACAGAGGCAACCCGCGCCCATCTCACCGCCTGTCCTGTCCCGGCGCACCAGGGAACCCACCACCAGGCGGTGGTGGGGGGCCTCCAGGGAAGCCGCCGGGGGGCGCGCCAGGCATGCCGGGGAACGGCGGGAAGTTGGGCGGCAGGCCGCCGGCGCCAGCAGCACCGGGTGGTGGGAAGGGCAGGCCGCCTGGGGGCGGGAAGGGCAGACCGCCGGGCGGGGGCATGGGCGCGCCGTTGGCACCCGGGGCGGGAAGGGGAGAGGGTGGCATGCCGCGGCCGGGAGGTCCAGGAGCTGGTTTGAACTTTGTCAGGCTTGGTCTGAGGGAAACGGCGAAGGGTGCGGTGCGACTTACGTGGGATCATGCCCTGCGGGAAAGGCGGCGCGCCGGGGAAGCCGGGAGGGGGGATGCCTGCGTCGGTTGGTGTCAGCTTGGTTTTGCTGCTCTCTGGCGCCTGAGGAGACGAAGCGAAGGGGAACGGGGTCACGTACCTCCTGGGAAGGGGAAGGGCGGCGGGGGGAAGCCCTGGCCTGGCTGATTCTGCGGCAGCATGGGGTTGGCGTGGGCTTGGCCTTCGGCAGCGTAGGAGGAGGTGATGGAGTCGATGACGGATTGGGCCTTCTCGTGACCGATTTCTACGGCGAGGGAACGAACGGGTTAGCTACATGATGGGAGCGGGCGCCAGGGGCGCAAGGAGGTCATACGTTGGTAGTAGTCGACAACGTTTCGCAGGTGGTTTCGACCGCTGTTGTGCGCCTTCCGCACACTCATGGAGTCGTGCGTGAGGTAGACATCGCAATAGTCGCCTGTGTCGAGGATCAGTCGCGAATTAAGAGGAGATGGAAGCCTGGGCAGTGTATGCGCAGGGACATACAAAAGACTACAGAACGGTCAGCATAGATCAAACTCATGGGGATATTTAGAGACTCACACTTAGGCATCTTGACTGACTGGCTTGAGGCACGTCGTTGGCTGTTGGGAGAAGTCGAATGCTGTGCTGCGCGATGGGCAATGCGACAGTGGACCACCAAACGTTGGTAGATAGATGGAGCTTGTCGTCGTCGCGCCCCAAAAAGTCAAGACAAGACAAGGCTGAAGGATTTCACGTGAGGGACAGCGTTCGAGGCTGCGGGGCGAAGCCATGTGATTGGGCGCTGCGGCGTGCGAGGACAGGGGTCAACGGCCGGCAGCCGTACGCGACAGATTTCCAAAGTCGAAATCCAGTGGACACTCCAAGCTAAGCTCTCCCACCCGAAAGTCGACCAGGGAGACTTGCCAGATTGCCTATCCACCACCACGACAACCACCGCGATCGTCTGTTTCCGTACCTGCGCCACACACACACACACACACCCGGCCGCGACAATGGCGTTACCACGATCATTGCTGCATTACGTCTGCGGCCTTCTCCTCCTGGCCGTCAGCGCCCAGGCCCTCAGGTTCGACCTACATGCCACCGCGCCTGGCGCCAGCAACCGCGAACGATGCATCCGCAACTTTGTGGCCAAGGAGACCTTGGTCGTCGTCACGGCCACCGTGGGCGGCTACAAGGGTGACGGCATGACTGTCAACATGCGCGTACGTGGCTCCCGGGCGTCGATGCCGATGCTGGCACGAGGATGGGTGGACTGACCAAGGTGCCACTGCAGATCAAGGACGCTGTAGGCAACGACTACGGCCGACCCAAGGACGTGGCCGGCGAGCAGCGCACCGTCTTCACCTCGCACGCCGACGCCGCTTTTGACGTCTGCTTCGAGAACGTCTTCTCCGATTGTACGTCTCCCGCCCCTTTTATCACCTGCCCCGAGCCACAGCTGACCCGTGCCCCCCCTTGTCGCCAGCCCGCTCCATCCCCAACGCCTTTGTCGACGTCGAGCTCGACATTGACATTGGCGCCGACGCCAAGGACTGGTCCGCCATTCAGGCCACCGAGAAGCTCAAGCCCGTCGAGGCCGAGCTCCGCCGTATCGAGGAGCTGATCAGCGAAGTCAACCGCGAGATGGATTACCTCAAGGCCCGTGAGCTTAAGCTGCGCGACACAAACGAGAGCACCAACACGCGCGTCAAGTGGTTCGGCGTCGGCACCACCTTTGTCCTCGTCGCGCTGTGGGCGTGGCAGATCATGTACCTGCGCGCGTACTTCCGGTCCAAGCACCTGATCTAACGGCAGAACGAACGGCAGGCTATGTTTGCCCCCCACTTCAGGTGGCAGGAACGGCGGCGGCGGCAGCGGCGGCGACTTGCTGCGGTCCTCATTATGGTCTCGGCCCCTTGGGAGTTTGTGGAGACAAGCTCGGGAAAAGATGGAGGATTGGATCTGCCGCGCGGTCTGGGAGACGAATCTAACGGACGGACTAGCACTGGGTTGCATGAGACCAATTCAAAAACTGATGAATATGACGACTGTTTGCTCGGATGTTCGTGTATATATTCGTGTATGGCAAAAGTCAGAGAGAAACCAAACGCGAGGCAGACTCGCGTGAGCATTTCGTCAGTCAAGACATCCCAGGGTCAGGAATTGCATCTTTGTCGGGGAGGTGCGCGAGCACAGTTCGCCAGGACCCCGTATCAAAAGTAAAAGATATGCACTGCAATATGTCCCAGACTTGGGACAGGAACGAGGCAGAAGATAGGTAGATTACTGACGACTACCCATCCATCCTGTTGCCCCAAAGCGCAACCTCAGACCACTGTGCCCGCTCCGCCGGACCCAGGACCACCATGAAATACAAGGGGGGAATCTTGAACTTTCTCTCACGACATGAAGAAGAGGTAAAAAAAGAGGGGGGAAAATTCACACAAAGAAAACCGACGCCTCCGCCTTGGAAAAGGAATCACAAGCAAAAGCCCCTATCCAGCCTCCCTCCTCGTTTCATTCATGATATCGTCGTGGGTAGAGAGAAGAAAAAAAGCAACCGAAAAGAAGCGCCTGATGCTGATCGATCATTACCCCTCATTCTCGGGTGGGAGCAACCGCCCCAAGCTTCTGAGCACCTCCATGGCGGGCATCTCCCTGGTCCTTGACGCGCTCTTCTCCCGGTGCTCGCGCTCCTTGAGGCGTTTCGCGCTCAGCGCGAGGACCTTGTCCGCTTCGCGTCCCGCCGTGTCAACTCGTTGGAGCAGCTTGTGGACGCTGTCGGCGAGCTGATCGATCTTGAACTCAAGGCTCGACTGTACGCGGAGGAGCCGTGTTTGCACTGCCTTTCGATGTCCGTCAAACGATGTGGCCGGGTCCGTGAGGTAGTTGAGCATCTGCGCCTCGTTGGCTTCGAGGGATTTCAGGTCTGGGAGGACGACAGGCTGCTTTTGTGCTGAGTCTGCTGGCTGTTCGGGGAACAAAGGGCTAATGTCTGGTATCGGCGTCTTTTTGAGCGACAGCCATTTCTTTTTCTCCTCTTTTAGTCTGCGAAACAATTGTCAGTTTCGAGTGCTTATGATGAACACACACAGGACGAGAGCAGACTGACCGTTTGACCTTTTGCTCCAATTGGTCGATCTTTTCTTGATGTTCTAGATTTCGCGGGTTTGGCTGGAGGACGACGGGAGCTCGTGGCGCGTCTTCCCTCGCGAACCAGTCAGAGCATTCCGACTTATTCGCAAAGTCTTTTAGTAGCAGTTCTTGTATCGCTCGTGCTACATCGTGTCAGCACCTCCAAGTCCCGAAAACCCTGTGGATGATCGCGCATCAGCTTACCTCCGTTGACAATGTGCGCGTTTGCCGAGCCATGTGGTGGCTTTGGCAGCAACGCCCGCTCGCCACACCACGTCAGAAGCTGCTTCATCCGGCGCGGCTCGCTCAGCCCCTCGGCCTCGATGTGTTTGTAGAACTCCGAGGTGGCGACCTCGCGATGCGGTATTGCATTGTGGCCGCTCTCGATGAGGGAACTCGCCCGCCGCCCCCTCATGCCCAGACTGCTCCGACGCGTCCCCCCGCCCTTTTTGCGCATCTCCTTGTTGCGATTGATCACCGGCGTGTCGCTGACCGGCAATGTGATCTTGGCCGACTCGACCGAGTCGTCCACGGCCCGTGGCGTATGCTGCCCTGCCACCTCCTCCGGCGCGTCCTCTGGCGCATCGACCTGCTGGTGTTTCCTCTTGGGCGCGGCCTTCGTCGCGATCTTGGACGTCGTTTTGGCGGTTGGTTTCGGTGCTGGTAGCTGCTCTTCGATTCTGTCGGTCGAGTGACGCGTGCTCCGTCGCGTCGCCCGTTTTGGCTGCACAATCGCCACCTCCTCCGCAGGCGCGGGGTCTAGGCTGGCGTTGCGACGCGACGTCCTCCTCCTCTCCGGCACGGCCGTCTTGGATGTCGCCTTGGTTGCTGGCGCTGCTGCCGGCACCTCGGACTGCTGGGTCAAAGGCGCGCGTTCCTTGGGCTGGGATCGCCCCCTTGAGGACTTCTTTGCCGGTGCTGGTGCGGGTGCGGATTCGGGTTCGGGCTCGTCTGCGGGTTGCGCCGTCTTGACCCGCTTGGCCGTGCGCGTGAAGTGAAAGTCGCCATCCTTCTCGTCCCAGACAGAGGCTGCACCTTGGGGACGCGTTAGCAGCTGGAGCGGACGGCCCTGGACGCTGGTGGTGGAGGGGTCGTCCTTACCCGCCAAGCGTTTGCTTTTTCTTTGTTCGGACTGCTCGTTGGTCATGCTAATGACTTGAAGCGGCTGACGTGATCGCACGATGGTCGTCATGGATGGCGCGGGTCCGAGGTTGTGGTCATGGACGCTGGCAGGAACGGGCAATCGGTGATGTTGGGGTGGGTGTTGCGATTTAGGTCGATAGGTTGATGTGAGGGCCAATGTCAGTCGCGACTCGGAGTCTGGCCCCACACTAGCGCGAACCGCGTCGCTGGAAAGGATCGAACGACTTGAAGAGGCGATGCACGGAAGATCGAAGGTCGGAGGGTCGAACAATGGCACGGGTGAACGGCTGCGTTTGTGAAGAGTTGGTGGCTATCGATGCGGTACATTGGGTATGGAGGCGCGCGAGTTGCAGCTCCGCTGCGATGTTGTTTACATTGGGTGAAGAGAGCAGAGTCGGTCCATGTGCATACGCTAAGCCTGATCCGGCAAGAACGCCTCCACCTCCACTCCCGCCGTGAGATCGTCGCCTTTCGCACCTCTTCATCAGCTCGTCCCGTGACCACCACACCTAGCTATACACCTCCTTGCTTGCTGGCTCGTGGCCTGCGGTTGCAGTCCGTCACCTACGCTGACATCGTACCTGATCATCACCCATCATCCGCAACCATCCTGCATGACTGCTCTTGCATAACGCTGGCCTGCACAGTAATTCACGGTCTGACGCGCTGCGGTGAAATAGTACGTTGGTTGTATTCATGATTCGCGGGATCTACGTAGCCGTCGTTACTTGTTGCTATCGCGAGTCCCTTCCCGAGCCAGGCTCTGTCACTCCTCCAAACAGGAGCGACCCTCGCCCTTCCCGTGACGCCCCTGTCAAACCGCCCAAGCCCAAACTCCGATTTTTTATGTGTCCCAGCGCAAAGCCAAATACATACAGATGGAACGAGGTAGGACGCAAGCACCGCTGCGCCCTCCGCAAACTCAATCCCGATGCCTGCCCCATGCACACAGTGCTACTGTGCGTGTGGTTCATACCTCGCGGCCGGCATCGCCCACCCACCATGCAATGCAGGTGCCCGATCCATGTGCTTCTTGCGGGACACCGTCATGCACCAAAATGATAATACAGATGAGAAGGGATCAACTCAACCTCACGGCAGAGTCCATTAGCAGTGGACGATCTGCGGCCACGAGGTCATCCTGAACATTGCCATGTCCAGAACAGTTCGTCATCATCATTTCATGCTCAGCGGTCGGCCAGACGTCCTAAGAAAAGCGACGAGGAGCGCCCCTGTCCGCCAGCCATCACTTGCTGATTGGTCTGCATGGGGCCTGCCATTCCGTAGGGGTTCATCTGGTGGTTGTAAGGCTCAATGGCCTGCTGCATGAACGCGCCGTGCAGACCCTGCTGTTGGGTCACGGGGCAGTCCTTGTGGGCGAGCAGAAGGGTCTTGAGGTTGACAACCTCCTCATCGCAGCTGCGTGATTTGAGTCGACAGGGCATCGTTCTCAGTGCTGAACATCTCCACCTTGGTCTGGAGGTTAGCGAGCCACTGCTTTTTGCGTTGGCGACACTTGAGGGCGGCAACCCTGTGAATGTGTCAGTACTCGTGTTTCAAGTCGTATGGCGATGAGAGGGGCATACCTGTTGCGCTCGAGAAAGTTCTTGCGCTTTTCCTCATCAGTCATCTTCACCTTGGCACCATTCTCATCGAGTTTGTGAGTTTCCTCATCATCTTCCGACTGGCTGTCGTCGCCCTCAGGCATCGACATGGCCGCGCTGGTCTTTTGCTTCTTAGAAGCAGGTGCCTTGGCAGGCGGCTCTTCGGCCTTGCGTCGACCGTTCGTCGCCACCGAGCCGCCATTCCTCTTTCCCTTGCCGCCGCGAGTTGAAGGACGAGCATGTTCGCTCTCCTCCGAGGCAGCACTGCCGCCCTCACTCACACCCCTAGAGGAAACGCCGTTGGCATGTCCCATGTTCGGAGACGTGTTAAGGGGCTGGACGGCAGGCGCAGGAGCGCCGTTGGTGAGGTTTGAAGATTGCGATGTGGGGGGGTAGTTTGAAGTCGGCGCACCATTCCTACCCTGAGCAGCACCCTGCGCAAGCATGAAGAGACCATTGGCGGCATCATTGTCGTGGGGATCAAAAGGACCTGAGGTCTTGACCTCAGGCTTGGGAGCAGCGCCACCGTTGGCCATCTCTGCTGGCCTTGATGTCACCGATGGCTGAGGAAGGTTCTGTGCTTCTCTCTTGGCAGCCGCAGCGGCACTCAGCGCAGTGCGGTGGAAGTCGAGGGTACCAGGCGTGGCACCACTGCCTGCAAGTTGTGCGAACAGTTGCGAGTTCGGGCTCGGGGCAGGGAACATGGAACCACTGCCACCAGGTGTCAGGCCTGTCCTCAGAGAAGACTCGTTAGGAGTCGGGAATCCTCCACGGAGATGATGGCTGTCACTAAAGTAATCATTGGTTGGGCCCGACAGCATGGCCGGGCTGAGAGGACCTGTTCGAAGCGAGCCTCCTCCCCAGTTGAAGGGAGTTGTGCCGGTCCCAGGCAGAAGAGCAGAGGGTGAAGTGATGTGAGCGACAGACGGCAGTTTTGTACCTCCAGGCGTTTCGGCGCCGTTGCCGCCGCCGAAAGACTGCTCAAAGGGATTGGGCTCCAGGTTGAGGTTGCTGTCGCTGATGCGAGGTCCTCCAAAGTAGTCAGGCGTGTTGCCCGTTGGAGCTGGTCGAGGGGGAGGTCCAAGAGGTTTCGCGCCGTCAGATTCGTTCTTTACACTCGAATCGGACTGTTTCGCGTCGGAAGCAGAGTCTGGAGACACAACAATGTGTAAGCAAGAGGACAGTTGCGTGTCGACAAAAGGGGCAATGGGACTTGTCGACAGGAGGGATGGAAGTGGAGGGTTGGGATCAACCACGTACCTGATCCACCTTGACGTTCTGGTGTTGTTCCTTGCGACGTCGACTTCTTGGGGGACTTCGGGTCACCTCGAGCAGAGGTATTGTTCGGTGAAGTCCCCATGACGATGACGTTGTATGATGTAGTGTACTGCGAGACACCTTGGAGGTAGGGCTGGAGTAGCGGTAGGGGGCCAAGGTGGTATCGACCGAAGGCAGTTGATGTTGACGTCGACGTCTGTGGGGTGCAGAGTTGAGAAGTGGACGGGGGGCAAGAGATGTGGGAAACCAGATGAGGTCAGAGGTTGGAAACACAGCGCTGGGTGGTGGACTAGAGATGGGTAAGGGTTCGTCG